GAAGAATGAAAACGCGAGTAGCAAGAAGATTGGTTTGGTGCAGAATAACAAGACTCCGAGGTATGCTTTGGAGCTTGACGGTCTTCACTGCTTCGAGACAATAGTTCGTTCTTGATTTGATTATTTCTTTGTGCTTGAATTCAAGATCAGAAACATTATTTTCTGAGTTTCTTGTAATTTTCTGTTTTCAAATTTTATTGATTCTTTTATATATGTGATTGTGAAAACGTTTTGGAATATCAATTGATTCGATCGGGTTATATAAAACTTAAATCTTTTGCTCATCTTTCTTCTTCTTGATTCTCCCGATTTGCCTACCTAATACTCCGATTCCGGCTAGATGCGGTGTGTTTTCGGTTTAGGTTATAATCGAACCGAAAAGACCATACCAAATTTTAGTTTTGGTTAGTAGCATTATTATCGGTGATACATTTGTGGCTATTATTAAATATAAAATTATTAATATTTGAGTAAAAATTATTAAATATGAAATTATTAATATTTGAATAAAAGGAAGAAAGAGAGTGTTTTTGTTAAAATTATGGTGTATTGAAATATAAAATTAATAAAATTTGAGGAAAGAGAAGAGATAGTGAATATTTTTGGAGAGATAGTATCAAAAATATCAATTATTTGATATTTAGTGTGTTTTTAATAATTTTATATTTAAAAAGAATATAAAATTAATAAAAATTGAGTAAAAAGATAAAAGAAAATGTATTAAATTAAATAAAAAAAAATATGTTTTTAATAATTTTATATTTAATAATATAATGATGGTCTTTACGCCTATCTATTTACATATTATAAAATATATATCGAATTGCAAAACATAACCGACCAAACCGGGGAGAAAACTTCAGATTCTTTTGAAAGACATTAGACAGGTGAGTTATATTCTTAAAATCGAATATACAAATTAAATCAATAATGTAAAAACAGAGATTAAAAACCACACCAAACCAAGAATCGGTAAAAAAACAAAGAAGTGTCAACAACGTATAGGACACTGGGTCATTTACAA